AATAATAAATATATATTAAATACGCGTTAAGAAAGTTATTTATGATAAGTAATTTTAGTAAAAATATAAATAATATTATTATTATTGTTATTATTATTATTATTATTACCACTGTTTTAAAAAAAAAAAAAAAAAAAAAAAAAAATTAAAAAATAAATAAAATTAATATACGAAGATAATATGCAAAACTACATAACAAATAAAATATTAAAATACTGTTGATTAAAAAATTGCTTCGTTCAAGAATTGTAAATATAACAAAATGACATACGTATTTTATAATGTTGTAATTTTTAAATTGTCATAATAATCAATAATATTATATTAATCACATCAATTAGCATATCATACAATTATTATGAACAATTTTCAAAATAACATAGATTGGTTATTTTTAATCAAGCATTATTCTGAAATGCTTGAATATTAAAATAAATCTTAACGAACACACAATTACAGACATTGAATTATAAACAATAACATTGTGTTCATATTTACGCATAAAGAAGGGAAAAAGTCTGTACAAAATAAATTACTCGCAAACGTTGAAATTACGAGGACATTGATGGGATGCCATATTGTACTGCAACACTCAAATGCATTTTTTTTTTCTCTTTTCATTTATTGAACTTTGACACAGCGAGACGATCTTATATTATCGCGTGCTACAATGATTTTTTAGCGCCCTTCTTGACCCCACAACTGAGAATTTTGAGACAAGATGCTAACAATTAAATTTCTGAATTTTTATCCGACAACTTTGTTTGTCTTTCTTGTCTTTCTTTACACAAATACACCAACTCATAATAATTCATATAATGAATGATCTTTTGAGTAAATGTACATAACATTAATCTATCGATAAATATTGATACTCAATAAAACATTTGATATTTTTTTTCATTTTCATTAATTCTATTACTTTTGAGCTCTAAACATTAATTTAAACTATAAAAATAATAATAATAAAACATTTTTAATAAAATTTGTATTTTATTTTATTTATTTATTTTTTATTTATTTATTTTTTTTTTTTTTTTTTTTTTTTTTTTTTTTTTCATAATGCCAAGCACGTGTACAAATTCACGTTTGCGTAGTTACGTGCTCATACGCACGCGCGCGCGCGTGTGTGTGTGTGTGTGATTATTCGCGTCAATATTTAATGCTAAGAAGTAAGTTTATACTGTTAATTGTTTGTTGAAAAATATTCGTTTAACATTTGATTTTTTAATTGTAAGAAACGTAATTAAAAAGCATCCTGTTTACCAATGAATCTTGTATAATGAAATGATTGTACAGACTTCATTTTCGTTTCCTGAAAATCCAACAGTCTCTGGCATTGATGTGTATCTCGCAAATTCAGCATATTAAAAAGCACTTCTGAAATGTCTTATCTTCTACGGTTATTTTTTTTTTTTTTTTTTTTTTTTTTTTTTTTTTTATAAAGTAACCGGTAATTTTATTGCAGGAATCAGCCAACATATCACTTGTATGTATATTCAGCTTTCATCAATTATAACATTTTCTTAAAAATTACAAATTTATAGTCATTTATTAAATGATCGATATATGATTCAGTATTAATAGAAAATTATAAACATCGTAGCTGTTTTAAAAATAATAATGTCCAAAATTTACTCTATTAAAAAAATTGAAATAAATGTTCGAAATAAAGAAGGAAAAATAGAATTCGTAGCATTCATCTAGAGGTGATTAATTATGTTGTTGACATTTTTTTGTTCAATCGTTTGATACACAAATTTAAAAACCGAAAGTAATAACTATTCTTTTTTATTATATTAAATTATTATAATAAAGACTTTAGCATTTAACACCCTATTCATTATTGGACAGTATAAGTTATGATTTAATGAACTAAAAAGTATTGTATATACTATTGTAGTAAATAATTACTGAACATTATATAACTTGAATTTACGTTAAATAATCAAACGCTTTATAATCTCATTTTATATATGTATGAATTATATGGCTATACTCGCTAAAAATAAAATCATAGTTCTGAGAATGCTATTTCTATGAAGCAAAAACAAATTCAACCAACTTGATCCTTAGTTACCGAATTATTATAAGTTGTTACGGAATAAAGCTTAGGAAGATTTGTCTATAATGAAAAAACATATTAAACACCACAATCAAATACGCAAAATTACATACAACCCCATGCTTATTTGAATTAATATTTTCGCGAGCTCGTAAATAACGCAGATATATCTTATCATCTTAAGAGATTCATACATAAGTGCATAAATCTCTCATTATGGTTTGTCTCGGTCGTCTCCATATGCATTTGCACATCTAATTGTTTAGCATAGATTTGGACAAAAAACGAAGAAGACGATCGATGTCTTTGCTTCCTTCTTCTCAAATTTACATAGCAGCGTTGACGCGAAAAAGCCTGAACCCTCCAACTCGCGTCTGCTGCTGATTAAAACCCAACGGTCACGTAACGTAAGGAGCAGCTCGCACTGATAATGTGTTTACTGTTCCCTTAAGAAGAGCGCGGCAAAAACAAGAACTGTACAGCCACTAAGAAGCACGTGGTCCATTATGCACATGCTCCCCCCCCCCCCCCCCCCTTCCTCCTCCCCCCTCTCCCGTCTCTCTCTCTCTCTCTCTCTCTCTCTCTCTCACTCTCTCTTTCTATATCTCTCTCTCTCTCTCTCTCTCTCTCTCTCTCTCTCTCTCTCTCTCTCTCTCTCTCTCTCTCTCTCTCTCTCTCTCTCTCTCTCTCTCTCTCTCTCTCTCTCTCTCTCTCCATCTACCTATCTATCTGTCTACCTATCTATCTATCTATCTATCTATCTATCTATCTATATAATCATCAATCAATCTACATAACTCTTTCTTGCTTTCTCTTTTCCTTTACTATTTCCTTTATTATTTTCATGCACGCAAACGCACACACAACTTAGGCAATTTTTCTCTTAGACATTTTCTCTACTTTCTCTCTACCTTACCTCTCTTTACACTCATTCGAACCCTTCGCACACAATCACATAAACACAAGCGTAAAGATATAATATACACTGAAATAATATAAAGATTAGACGGAGCCATCGGTTGATTATACCCTCTTTCTGCGCACTAGTCATTCGTACAGTTAGATTCAAAATTTCCACTCATTCGATAGTACTATAAAACGAGTTGCACAATCGATTTACTGTTCTTCCAACTTTTTGACATTTACGCAGTAATTAAATAAATAAAATTATTTTCATAAATTCAGTTCCTATTTTTAAAGTAACCTATATTATATCTTATCAAATGACTATATTTTATGGCGAGTAGGTTTTATTTTTACTTGTCCACTATTATGAGTATATAAAAAAGACACGTATCAATCGAATTATATTTCATATAATTTTACGATAAAAATAACAAGAACAACAACAACAACAACAACAACAACAACAACAATAATAATAATAATAATAATTAACCGAATTAATTATTAATACTATCTATTATTGGATGTAATGAAATATGTTGTTAAAAGAAGATATTAAATAAAATTCGAACCACGTAAAAAATCATCCTGATAATTAATAAGTTTTTAATAAGTTTTTAATTATTTTTCAAAATCTTCGAAATAATTGTCTTAAATTAAAGGATTTGTTATAAAGTAAATTAAAAAAAAAAATTCAATTTATATAATAGATTATATAAGTTTTTAAATATTATTAAACCTTTCATCATAATCATGTGTGAATTTTAATAAATTTAATTATTAAACTAATCGTAACGTAATTAATAAGGGAGTAAATACTTATGATATATTAAGAATAATCATAAATAATGTATTTTCATTTCGTAAAATAGCATGTACCACAATAAAAACTGTGAGCGCATGGCGTTTGTAACGGCTGAATAAAAGAAACGATGAACCCTTAAGAGCGTCTCTTTAAAATCTGTCACTCAAACTGACACTGTTTTTAAGTCGGAAAAACTTAGCGTCGCGATTTCCTAAAAATTTCATACGGCCCGAGAGATTGTTTACACTGCACCCAGGCACCCTTTCGACTCATGTATTTGCGTATTCACTATGTTACGAGAGAACGAGAAGAAGATAGAGCAGAGCGAAAGGCCGATACACGAAGATAAAACCAAGGAGTGCGAGGGAGGGAGGGAGTGAGACAGCGATAGAGACGGAGTGACAGGGAGACAGAGAGACAGTGAGCGAGCGAGTGAGAAATTGAGTGCGAGTGGGTTGGACGGGAGAGAGAGGGAGCACGTAAGCAAGTACGTTGAGCATCGGAGCGTGCGAGAGAGAGAGAGAGAGAGAGAGAGAGTGAGAGAGAGAGAGAGAGAGAGAGAGAGAGAGACCGAGAGTGAGAGTGAGAGAGAGAGAGAGAGAGAGAGGGAATATGAGGACAATACACAATTCGTGAAATTGCGGTGGCGGAGAACGGGGAGATTGTCGGTGTCGGGGGTAGT